GAGGCTTGAAAAAAATCCTTTATATGAGGAACTTAATACATCTGAAAAACCCCTTAATGTATCTGAATAACCCCTTACTACATCCCAAAATAGAATTCTTGGTTTCTCCCCTTTTAAAGGGAGAAAAGCTCCTCTGAGAGGCAGAAGAAGGTGGATTGCAAGTGAGTTCGAGACCAGCCTAAGCAAAAGTGAGACCCTGTCTCTACTAAAAATAGAAAAACCGAGGCAAGAGGATGGCTTGAGTCCAAGTTGGAGATAGCTGTGAGCTATGATGCCACGGCACTCTACCCAGGGTGACAGCTTGAGATTCTGTCTCAAAAAAAAAAAAAGGAAAAAAGAAATTTTCTCTCCTAGTCTTCTGTAGCTTAATAAATGGCGCCATCATCCTTTCTTTCACTTCAACCCAATACCGGGAGTCACTCCTGACTCCTCTTTCTCACATTCCACTTTCAGTGTAAGAATATCATCTCAGAGTGCCCTTCCCTGGCTCCCCTGCCTACAAATAGCACCGTCATCTCTATGTGCTTAACTGACGCTGCTTTATTGCCCTTTATAGCTCGATCGCTACCCAACATCATATTATTCATTTACTTTTTGTTCTTTGCTCATTTTCTTCTCCATGAACATGTATACTTTATAAAGGCAGGGACTTTGTTTACTTATTTGGTACCATATCGCATACAGCATGCAGTAGCCACTCTATAAATATCACCCAAATTGAGTATTGAATGAAAATAAGAAGAGATGGAATAAACTGAGAAAATTAGAGCTTCTAGGACCAAGCTTGAGACAGCCCAACATTTAGAAGTTCAATAGAGAAGAGGTGGCCAGCGTAAGGAAGAAAGAAGCAGTGGCCAGTGAGGTAGGAAAGGGTGAATGTTATCAAGACACAACATTTTGAGGGGAAGGAGGTGCTCCAGTTTATTTATTTTGTGGGAATGAAATTAACTTTGTTCTACAGACTTCGCCGAGCGTGATGAGTATGGTATGTAAATGTGGACTTGCCATTCCTTTTCAGAGGGATCAATTTAACAAAAATCATACTGCATTTGAAAAAAATGACTTCTTAAAACAGATGAAGAATCTGGAACAAGCATTTGATGGAGCACAACATTTGCTTGTGACTGATACATAGGCATCTTAAGACTGCTGAAATCCGAGAGTAATGTCAACAAGATGGCCAACCAGAGGCCCCTAGCACTCACTCCCCTTCACAAAGACCCCTAGAACAACGAATAAACAACTACATCTTAACTAAAATAACTGAGGACTATCACCAGAATGCAACAGAGGAGCAACAGAAACCCAGGTGAGCACTGACCTCAGGATGGCCACGCAGGAAATGGAAGGGAACCCTGGGTCTCCACCACTCTGTCCTCCGCTGGGATCAACTGAAAACCAGGCAGAACTTTTCCCTATGGCAGGGAGGTAAGCAAGATGATTCTAGCAATTCCCATCAACACTCTGGACACCTGTAGACCTCGCACTGGGGTTTCCCGCAGTTCTCACAGGCACTGAGCCCAGCTAAGGGAGCTGGCTGAAGTCCACAGAGTGGTGCTCCTCCAGAGGACACCAGACACCATGCCCCACTCCCTCTGGCCCA